ATAATCAGTTGATAGCATTCAGTCATATCAGTATAAAGATTCCAGGCAAATGGCCATCATCCAGCAGCTCTCGTGTAAAAGAAGGGTTGGGTCAGAATTACTCTTGGCTGAGCTGGACGGAGCTGCACCCTCAAGGAACTAAGGCTAACAGGCTAATTTGATTCAGTTCTTTGTAAATTCAGTTTTGTCAGCTTTTGATTAGCAGTTCAACAGTATTTTTGTGAGCTAGTGGGGAAAATACGGTGAAACCAAAACACAGTTGCAGGCTGATCAGGGTTGCAACATAAATTGCAATTTGAAAAATTATGCAAACTATTGTTCTTACAAATGGCATATATATATATATATATACAGTGGGTACGGAAAGTATTCAGACCCCCTTTTTCACTCTTTGTTATATTGCAGCCATTTGCTAAAATCATTTAAGTTATTTTTTTTTCCTCATTAATGTACACACAGCACCCCATATTGACAGAAAAACACAGAATTGTTGACATTTTTGCAGATTTATAAAAAAAGAAAAACTGAAATATCACATGGTCCTAAGTATTGCTGTGACACTAATATATTTAACTTTTATGGTAAACGTTGGTGAACAGCCATTTTTAGGTCTCTCCAGAGATGCTCAATTGGGTTTAAGTCAGGGCTCTGGCTGGGCCATTCAAGAACAGTCACAGAGTTGTTGTGAAGCCACTCCTTCATTATTTTAGCTATGTGCTTAGGGTCATTGTATTGTTGGAGACAGCGTGTATGGCATTGTGTGGGTGAGCGGTTTGCAACGTTGTGGATCGAGTGGCCCATGGTGGCGGTGGGGTTTATAGTATGGGCAGGCGTATGTTATAGACAACGAACTCAGGTGCATTTTATTGATGGCATTTTGAATGCACAGAGATACCGTGACGAGATCCTGAGACCCATTGTTGTGCCATTCATCCACGGCCATCACTTCATGTTGCAGCATGATAATGCACGGCCCCATGTTGCAAGGATCTGTACACAATTCCTGGAAGCTGAAAACATCCCAGTTCTTGCATGGCCAGCATACTCACCGGACATGTCACCCATTGAGCATGTTTGGGATGCTCTGGATCGGCGTATACGACAGCGTGTTCCAGTTCCTGCCAATATCCAGCAACTTCGCACAGCCATTGAAGAGGAGTGGACCAACATTCCACAGGCCACAATCAACAACCTGATCAACTCTATGCGAAGGAGATGTGTTGCACTGCGTGAGGCAAATGGTGGTCACACCAGATACTTACTGGTTTTCGGACCCCCCGGACCCCCAATACAGTAAAACTGCACATTTTAGAGTGGCCTTTTATTGTGGCCAGTCTAAGGCACACCTGTGCAATAATCGTGCTGTCTAATCAGCATCTTGATATGCCACACCTGTGAGGTGGATGAATTATCTCGGCAAAGGAGAAGTGCTCACTAATACAGATTTAGACAAATTTGTGAACAATATTTGAGAGAAATAGGCCTTTTGTGTACATAGAAAAAGTCTTAGATCTTTGAGTTCAGCTCATGAAAAATGGGGGCAAAATGGGTTGCGTTTATAATTTTGTTCAGTGTGTGTGTATATATACTGTAATATATATATACATACACACACCAACTATAGTATCAACGACATGATATGATTGGAATCGCTTTCATACTGATTTTTTTTTCCAGCTAATGAATGATAAAAACAATTGACAGCCAATCAGAATTCATCCTGCTTTGAAGAGCTGGAGAATTTTAAGCAGTAGATTACGAAACTGCATCACATGCTTATAATAGACAGAATGTTATTGTGTGTTGGTGCGTTGGCTAATGTAGTTATTATTCCTGGTGTGAACCAACATTTAAAGGTAAAATGTGTAATTTCTGCAAAAATATAAATCTATTGCATTTTCCATTGGTCGGTCAAGCAGATAGCCCCACCCAAAACTCACGTGATTAGTTGAGAAGTTGGTGTGTCAGGCCGGTTGGGATGATCAAGCAAACAGAGCAATGTTTTGGTAGCACCACAATTTGTGAAATCAATCTGTAACAAAAAGAGTTGTCTGTCCACATTAAACTGGGAAAGCGAAGTTATTTTAAACCAATAGTTCACCCAAAAAATAAAATTCTGTCATCAATTCCAAATATGGCACAAAGTAAGTGAAATATTTTGAGAAATGTTTAACTCTTTTGTCCATATAATGAAGATGAATTGGGTCCAAAACATTGTTTTTAACCCTTAGGTTGTGTTCAAATCTCTATAACACTTTTGTAACAGTGCAATTTTTTTCTTATTTTATTTAATATTTATAAAATTATCCTCAAATAACGCTTTTTCATTCAAAAACTGCATGATGTACGTAAACTCAGATTAATGAGGCCTATGGATAAAAAAATAAACACAAAACCAGTCCTAATTGAAAGAAAACAAGCTGACAAAATGATTGATACCAATATTTGGTGACAATATTGCATAACAATAGATTTATAAGCTATTTTTTGCGGATCGGTCATTTTTGACCGGGAACATCACAAGTGTTTTTTTTTTATTTTGTACAAAATAAAAGCTTTTCAAAACAAATTTCTTGGTTAAATATTAGAGCATGCTAGTGTGATAAACAGTTCCATTTTTTTTTCATGTTTTATTTAATATTGATAAAATCCACAAATAACACTTTTTTTCACTCAAAAACTGATGTACGTAAACTCCGATTAATGAGGCCTACGATGAATCAGTTCCAAAAATAAACACAAAACCAGTCCTAATTGAAAGAAAATAAGCTGACAAAAAGATTGATACCAATATTAGGTGATAATATTGCGTAAGAGATTTATAAGCTATTTTTTTGAAGGCCGGTCATTTTTGACCGGGAACACAAGTGTAACTAGGTTGAATAACATAAAAAATGTTTAACGAAAATGAACAGTTTTTGCGGTGGAAGTAGTTATGCCCTGTGTGCACAAAGTCAGTAAAACTTTTCAGTAAAACATTTTCGGGAGAAAGAATATTCTCTCCGGGTTAAAATGACCCGAACACAACCTGTGAGGGTTAAATACCTTCTTTCATGTTCCACAGAAGAAGTCACACAGGTTTGGAGTGACTTGATTTACAGAATTTAAATTTTGGTTTCCCTCTAACATTTAAAAAAGACACACCCCCACAAGCAGTCTGAAAAAGTATCTACCATCTCATTGAAGAATGTCCTTTGATTCAGTAATCCTTTAATTTCAGTCATTTAACCAGTCAGTAATGAGAAAATACAGTATTTTCCACCGTCATCCCATTGTATACTGTGAGTTATTAACACATAACCTGACTAAATAAATTAGAAAGAAAAAAAAGAGGAGAAAATAAGTCTTTGAGGTTGTGCTCACAACTCGGCCTACAGAGTGTGCATTCGGTATGGTACACTGTACAATGCAGCATGAAGATTGAAAAACATCAATAAAATAAGACCACAGAGACAAACACAAATGATAAATAAATAGGAATTAACAAGACAAATTTGAATAGAACACAAACATATACAATAATTCCAACACAGGTCGTTTGTCCAAATCATCAAAATGATCCTGAATCACATTTAAAAGGGTCCTTGCAGATAAATGGAGGAAAAACACACATCGTGTCCACCGTCGTACCTTATAGGTTCCCAAAAACAGTCTTTCCACTTCACAAAGTCCTCTGAACACGCTGCTCCTAGGTCATATTATGCTTACATGGCTTAATGTGTCAAAGGTTTGATCAGTTTTTGTGAAACTATGCAGCAGAATCAATCCAGTCTTTTTGTACATTCCTGCGTAGAATCCAGCTCTACACAGTTTTAGATCTGAAACTGTTCCCACACACAACACTGACTCTCTCTTGCTCTCCCATGCACGCACATACACATCCACCCACTCGCACATAAATACAATAAGGCTGAAACAGGTGCTAGTGGTACAGGTTATGTAGCATGTTCAGTTTGGTACCAATCTGACAGGAATCGTGTAAAGAGGAAAACGAAGCGAGACTGCATTCCAAAGAAATCCAAAGTACCGCCATTGTATGAAATAGTATCTGTCAAAGACACAGGCACATACGTAAGACTTGAAACTGGCAGTCTTTGTTTCCTTTACAAAAGCATTGCAGATTGACTGAACTTCCTCTGGTTTCCATTGAATATTGCAAAGCCAAAGTGAATTTCCCAGGCGGTGCAATTGGCACAGTCTGAAACCTTGCTGGTTTTCTATACACACAGCAATTTTAGGTGAAATTATCTTGGCATTTGTATCCAAAGGTCTTTGAGTGTCCTCTGAAATAGTTAAATCCCCTTTCATGTATATATCAACCGAAGATTAGCATCCATAAGCCCAAACTAACACAGTTTAGAGGCTCATTTAAAGGGTTAGTTCACCCAAAAATGAAAATTCTGTCATTAATTACTCACCCTCATGTCGTTCCAAACTCATAAGAGGTTTGTTCATCTTCTGAACACAAATTAAGGTATTTTTGATTAAATATGAGAGCTTTCTGACCCTGCATAGACAGCAACGCAACTGAAACACATCATTAAAATTGTCCATGTGACAACAGTGGTTCAACCGTATTTTTATATTTGATACATTTTATAAAGCTACGAGAATAATTTTGTGTGCAAAGAAAACAAAAATAGCAACTTTAGTCAACAATTAAAGTACTCTCGTGAATGCCAGCAGAGACTGGCACGGAAGGGAAGAAATTGTTGAATAAAGTCGATATTTTTGTTTTCTTTGCGTACAAAAAGTATTCTCATAGCTTCATAAAATTACGGTTGAACCACTGATGTCACATGGACTATTTTAACGATGTCCTTACTTCCTTTCTGAGCCTTGAATGTTTCAGTTGCGTTGCTGTCTATGCAGGATCAGAAAGCTCTCGGATTTCATCAAACATATCTTAATTTGTGTTCCGAAGATGAGCGAAGGTCTTATGGGTTTGGAACGACATGAGGGTGAGTAATTAATGACAGAATTTACATTTTTGAGTGAACTATCCCTTTAAGATGCAATTTATTCGCATTTTATAATTTTTGTGTCCAAGGAGTAACATGTTAATGGCTTGTCCTGGATTTGCTTGAATGCTCTCTGAAATGTTTCAGGAAATATTGTACGTGAAAATGCTTTGCACGAGGATATCACATAGGAAGCAATGCGGAGCTAAATAGTGTGTAGAATCAAATAAAGTAGTTAGATTTGGCTCCCAAGCTACCTTCTTTCAATAATCAAAATTAACAGGATAGTTCGCCGAAAATTAAAATCTGGTACTTTACTCACCCTCATGTCATTCCAAACCTGTTGACTTTGTTTCTCAGTGTAACACTAAAAAAGTTATTGAAATTGGCCCGATGTTGTTTCGGACCCCACTGACTTTCAGTGCCTTCAAAATATCTTCCTTTATGTTCCACTAAAAAAAGAACATCAGGTTGGACATGAGAGTTAGTAAATGATGAAAGAATGTCCATTTTTGGCTGAAATGTCCCTTTAAGAAAAGATACAATCGTACCGACAACTTCACGCTTTGTACATGTTGGCGGCAGTAGCGAGTGCCAACTGCCCATTGGCCGCGACCACACACGGCTCCTCCTCCAATAGTCCATTGGGGTCGGCGTGCGGGATGCTGTCGTGGTAGCTGCTGAAGCTGATGTTGTCCTCCTTCAGCTCAATGGTCCAAAATGGGGCGTTGAGTTTCCTATTGCGGTACTCACGATACGTATACACGCCTCCGACGAAGCCCATGAGGAGAACGACCACCACGATGATGACGGCGAGGATGATGATGTTAAACTGCGTCCAGGACACTACTGTCAGGGCAGAGGCCGTGCTGTTGTGTCCTGAGGAGTCTCCCGTGCCGGACTGAAGGGTTGGTAGGCTTGGATGGGTGGTAGGGGAGGAGGAGAAAGTGATGAGGCGGGAAGCAGGTGTAGAAGCAACAGAACTTGTGGATTTGGGGATTTCTGTAGTGGAGGTCTTGATGTCTTGAGTCGGGAGGATTCTCACAGCTGAGAGAGAGAGAGTTAATGATTGAAATGGTTAGTGTGTCTAAAGAGATGATAAAGGATATAAATGAAAAATGATTAACTTAGAGCTTTAGCTGAACACGTATTCAAGATTAATCGCAAATCAGCCAAGAAACCAAAGAAAATTAGGATTAGGACTGCATGAACAACTGTGTAAAGTTCATCAATTATGAAACCGGTATATATATATCTTCTAAAAACATTTAGTGTATTATTAGTATATTGTTATTCTTGTACTTTTGGCATGTTTTTTTGTCAACAGTACTGTTATAATTAATAGAATTATTGTCACAATGGATTTTTCTCATCTTGTCTTTGTTATTGTTGATGAAATAATAAAAAAAAACATATATATATGGTTGTTGTTGTTTTTTATATTGGCAAAAATGGCCCTGAAAAGTGAGGACAGTTCTGAGAAAAGCTCTAGCATATTTTAAGTGCAACTTAAGTGTAAAAAAATACTTTAAGAGGCCACTTGTAGTTCCAACTCCAACGACAAGGTGGCGCCACAGCACCAAATTTCAAGTCTGACACCATATTCTACAGAAGTGGAAAATAAAATGAAAATGAAGTGGTAATGGAGAATCGCTTTTTAATTTACTAATTTAAATTATTTTATACATAAAATGATTATGCTTGGATGATACTTAATGAGCATATTCATGGCATTTACATGGGACTCCACAGTACTTTAAAAAATACCATGGTATTATGATAGTGCCAGACCCAGAAACCATGGTATTGCCATTATTTGTAAGTGGAATACAGAGGAGTGAAGTTTAAAACATCCTTAAGAGTGTTCAACACACACACAATGAAATATTGATGATAGGAAAGAAATCCAGTCAGCAGGATGTGTGAATGACTGTGCTGGATTCACATCCTGACCTGCCTGACTGACTGACCTACAACCGCCCGCTAGCAGAAACATCACGCAGTAATGCAAGCTTCTCTGCAGTTTCAATAGTCATGACATCTCTGATCCGTTTTCTCAATGGCCGCTGTTGTCAGGGCAACCCCTCCCTGAAGCAGATCTGTCCCCACACCACCCCACTGACTGGCCTCGCTGCCACAGCCATGACATGAGAGACGGAGACACACTGCCGGCCAGTGACAGAAGGAAGTGGCCAGAAGGCGGAGGAATTCATTTCGGCACTCCTCCCATTCCTGCCATGAGAAGTCGTGGGCCGTGCCTATCTGAAAGATCATGTGACACTGAAGACTGGAGTAATGATGCTGAAAATTCAGCTTTGCATCACAGGAATAAATTATATTTTAAAATGTATTAACATAGAAAATAGTTATTTTAACTGTTTTTTTTTTACTGTTTTTATGTATTTTTGATCAAATAAATGTAGCCTCTGTGAACTAAACTTTCAAAAACATAAAAAAAAAACTAAATATTCCAGACTTTTGACAGGAAATGTAAATGTCATGGTCTCCTTGTGCATGATCCATCAGTGCATGTTATGCAAAAAGGAAAAAAAAAAGTTTTTCAAAATCGAACTTTCTGTGCCTTCTATTTTTCTGTCCTGATGAATAATTGCCAGTCACTTCTTAGGACATTATGTGCTGAACGCAGAAGCTGCCCTGAACCCTGTCAACATGTCACAGAGATGCAGACTCACCGAGATGACAGCTGCTGCTGGAGGTCTCAGAGGAGCAGGGACAAGGCAGACAAGTGTCCGCGGACCCCTCACCATGACGCCGGTAAAAGTTGGGCAGACACTCCTCACAGTTGTGGCCCTGAGTGTTATCCTGACAGTCCAAACAAACACCTGAGGAGAGAGAAGGAGAATATACAGAACAACTGATCATTAGCAACAGTATAGACTGAACAGGAGACTTCCAGAGAGTCTTATGTAAATCATTGCATAAGGTAAGAACTTGAAAAGGTGAAACTTGAAAAAATGTTTCTAAAACAAAGAAATCTGCTTTGTCACAGAAGAACCTTTCACCAGTTTAAAGTTTATGTTTAAAGTGCTCTTAGTCTTAAATGTGCACTAGATGATTTGTTGATGATTTAAGCCTCAATGTGAGAAACGCTGTACTGGAGCTCTAGTTAACACTATTCAAGACCAGGGTTTTCAAGTGGAGGGATATAAAACAAAGAAGTTTCTGTCACTGCTGTTACTGTTAACAAACACTTTTAAAAATGTTTTTTGTTAATTGAAATTAAGATGACTAAAATACTAAAATAAAATATAAATATAAATAAACTTTGAAATGTTACCTTGGCAACTAAACTAAATAAAAAAAAAAAATGAAAAGGTTCAGTTGAAGTACTAAAATTACTAAAACTAATATAAGAAAAAAATAAAGTTAAATAGAAACATTTAAAAAAGTAAATAAATAAAAACAACAAAACACCTAAAATTACTAAAACATAATCTAAAACGAAAACTTAAAATATAAAAATAAAAGCTCATTTAAAGTACTAACAAACACTATAGTCGTATATTATAATACTATAATAACTATAATATAACTATATAATATAATATAACTATAATACTAAAATACCACTAGTTTCTGACTTTTTTTCATTCATGACACTTAACGTAAAACACAACCAACACAGCATAAATTTAGCTGAATCAATCAGTTTGTCAATTAGTTAAAAATTAAAGGTATGTTAAATATTTAATTTGAATCTATATAAATTGTAAAAAAAAAAAAAATGATATATATATATATATATATATATATATATATTCTAAGTGTACTTTATCTGTTTTATGACTGATTATATTAAGAGGTAAATCGTTTATTTTTATATAAAAAATTATATTATATAAACCAGTTGCATGTAATTTTAAGTATTAACATTAACAGAACATTAACATAAAATTAACAGAAAATAGTCAGCATTATGTACTTAATATTATAATAATTTTTATAAATGTTCACGAAAGCCTCACATTATTACAGAAAAAAATCTAGGTTTTTACACTGAAGGGTCCCTGAAAGGCTAAAAGTATGGGTGAGGGTCCCTGCACTTGCAGAAAAAGTTACAATGGTACCTTATTTATCCCTAAAGTGTGCATTTTAGTACCTTATTTCATACATATGGAACATATTGTTGCTGATGAGAATATGCAATCTTGTGTCAGTATATCTTTGTTATTGCCTCTGGTTTAATAATTTTTATTCTTTATGTCAGAATTTATGTTTTTCTTCTTTGCTCTTCATTTCAATTACATGAAAGTACTGCATTTGCTTTATCACATCAGAACTGTATGCTACAGTTTTCAGGTAGGAGTTTTGCGTGGACAAGGACAAAGCAAACTAACTGGCCAAAGACCAAAAGCCTTTGTGTAATATGCAAATTATTGTTTAGCAGTGTGAAATACTGCACGTCTCGTGTGTGTGTGTGTGTGTGTGTGTGTGTGTGTGTGTGGTATTATGCTGTGGGGTGGCTGTCAGTCTATGAACTGTAAGCAGTCTCCGGAGATGCTGATTGGGTTTTATAACCGAAGGAGGGCTGTAAATCTGACTGTGGCTCTCCACATTGAGGAAAGGTTACCAGCTACCATCTGCACACACACAACGTGGAGAGAGAAAGACAGAGACAGATGGGTTCCTAAACACATGTGCGCTCATGCACTTGAACAAGCAGTTGACAAACACGTCTGTGACATCAGCAGACTGAGGCCCGGCTGAAATGATTTAAGACAAACACGCCTACACTTCTCAGATGTCAGCAGGTTTGCTTAACAAATTAACACACACACACATACACACACCAGCATGAGCATTATGTTGATAGGGGTTTTTGGTCCTGATTCAAATGGAGGTTAATTAAGCCGAGGTTGCCTAGGATACAGGGAGGAAGAGAGAAAAAGAGAGGGAAGTGTGGAGGATGTTCTGATGAATCGCTCTAGGTGAGTCAATCTCAAATCTGGAGATTTTACAGGAACAGTTCACCCAAAAAAGTGTGATTTTTTTTCTTCATGTCATTCTAAAATAAAAGTATAATAATATTCTTGTATTTTGAATTTGATATGAAGTTTAGCAAAGTATAAGTATAGCTTAATCTGTTTTATAACATTATTTTAATGGATAAGTGTTTATTTTGTATTACAAATTTATTATAAGTTGCATGCAATTTTATTCTTAATTATATAAATGCAAATTAAAAGATAATATTGAGCATTATGTGATTTAATGTTTATAAATACTAAGCTTCAAAATAAGAAAATATCCAGGAGAATGTTATGTTTTGTGAGCATTTATTTGTGAGTGTTTATTTATTTAAATCTGGTCTGATCCCCCCGCCCTTCCCCCATATTATGCATTATGAAAATATGAAGTCTGTTTGTATCTTTCATTATTTCACTGAGATTTCGCTCTAGGTGATTTAATCTCAAATCTGTAGATCTCAATTGAATGGAATGGTTTGGTGTTATTTATTCATCTTCATTTCAAATTAAAAATTTGAATATTTAAATTATTTTGGAGATAAATGATAGCTTTGTGTAAAAATAGATTGCAGGTGAAGATTGTTAATGAAAAACGACTTAAATTTCAGAGAACTGAACACAAGAACCAGTCTAGTTTGCAGAAAAACTAGTTAAACTAGTTTAGGGACTAATTCTCACTATTAACAAGTTGTTTATTAGCTTGCATATTACTAGCATATTGGCTGTTTATTAGTACTTATCAAACACATATTAATGCATTATTCTGCATGACCATATTTTAGATCCCTTAATCCACACCATACCTAAAAATTAACAACTAATTTACTAACTATTAATAAGCAGCAAATTAGTTATTTATTGAGGCAAAAGTCATAGTTAATAGTTAATAGTGAGAATTCATCCCCAAACTAAAGTGTGACCAAATTTGCCCGTCATTTTAACTAACTTTTGTCCTGATGGATGATCTTCTGGATATAATTCCTGTGCTTGATGTTGTATTTAACTCAATATTCAGTGTAGAGACAGAGGTGTTTGTGTTGCACATAATTGAAGACTATGAGAAAACTGGTTGGTTTTGAGTTTTTTTTTAGCTATTTTTATCTTCCAAGTTTAAACTCTTCTTTGTGGTAAACATAGCATATGACATTTTCACCATGACAGATACTTCAAACAGAGATCATGAACGATAAGCGTGAAATGTGTACATGGATCACAAGTGAGTGTTTGTTTTCACTTTGTAAGAGTTTCTGTGAGGCATAAGTTTTTTTACTGACCTGACTGAGGGTGGCAGTAGGTAGAGTGGTTGTTGCATTGGCACGGTTGACAGCCTGTGCTGCTGAAGTGGAAGAATCCAGGATGGCAGTCGTCACACTTGGGCCCGTATACACCTGTCTTACACTTACACAGCCCTGAGCTGCAAGAGAGAAACACAGAAAACACACATGAAAAAAACTATATCACTGCTTTAACATTTATGACACTGGCAGCCTGGAAATTGTGCCTACTTGTGGACAACATCCTCTTTGTGCATCCAGTTCCTGTGGTATCTCATCACACACATTTCAGCACACACGTGGCTTTGCCCAAGACCGCTAACAATCCTGGTCTAAAATGCAGTCACACACACTTTAAAGCAGTCTAGACCTTTCATTTTTAATTCCACCATTTCTGCATGTGGGTACACATGAGGGACCTGTGGCCCAGACCACATTTGAAAACCATCTGCTGCTTCAGAACGGATTCCAGGAATCCCTCTCTCTCCCTCTATCTCTCTCTCTCTCTCTCTCTCTCTCTCTCTCTCTCTCTCTCTCTC